GGTTTCGCTCCCCCTCCGGCAGCCACCGCCGCGGTCCGAAACATTGGTTTTTTCTCTGCAGGTGGCCAAGCGAAAATCCACCTCCAACGCTTTTTATTGGTTTTATCCGCAAGGGGGGGGGGGTTGGGGGGGGGGGCATGAGAAGACGAAAAGGGCTCTGTTGTACGAGGTCATGCCCGCGATGATTGTCCGTTATTCACTTGGCCCGAAATGCTCTGTGGACTTGAGATTTCAATACTGAAGTTTAGTATCGGAACAGATTATCACCCCACCTCTTGGCATGTAAACGCCAGGCTCTCTGAACTAGACTCGATTTTCTCCGCAAATAAGTTCCTCACAAAACTATCGACTCACCAGCGTCTTGCACTTGACCGACAGGTCCTCCAGTCGGTCCTTCCAGTCCAACATCTTCTTGAGGTCTTCGTACGTCAGAGAGAACTCGTCATCGGAGTGGGTCACGATCTGGTGAATCGCCTCCTCCGCCGCTTCCCACTATGCCCATTCAGTTTATATAGTTTGTGCGGCACCACGCATCGATGAATTAATTTCCACGACGGCGACGACCAAAAGAGAGAAAACGGAGGAACGCTTGCCGTGTAACAAACCAAATTGTTGTTGAAGGCGAGGGGCGCTTGATCTACTCCCGCATCGAGACCATCTCGCTTATCATGCTTGGGAAATAGATACCCCGAACGCTGTGGTTCAGGCGACGTTGTAACGGGCGAATCAGTGGTGACAAGCGACGTACTACTGCCGGTGTGTCTGCTACTGCTGTCCCTTAACGAGCCGAGTCCAACAAACCTTGCAAGGTTGTCACAGGGCAAAGCACCAGACCACATTGGATCTCCGTCAACGTCAGCGGTAGGGACTACCGGCATGTGGCGCGGGAAGGACACGCGACCAGACCAGACTCCGAAACAGCAGCGGCCAAAAAAAATCGTTATCATTTGTCTACAACCATAACCGCTAAGAATACAAGAGCAACAAATCAACAACAAAATTGGCAAACAGCGACAACGACGACAACAACAATAACAACAACAATTACAACCGAAGCAGCAGCAGCACAAAACACTAACACCACAACCACCAACAACACCACCAACAAAAGTTACGCCAACAACAACGACTAGACAAGAGCGGCGCACCTGCTGCTTTCCCGCAAGGTCGGCGCTGGGGATGACGAGCAGGTGCTGCATGATCGACAAGAACACCCCGAAGCAGTCGTACTCCACCACGGACGAACAGATGGTGGAGTAAAGCTGCTCCGGGTCCGACAGGTTCACCGTCTGCTCGTCGCTGTACGTGTGCTGGACCTGCCAAGGCGTGTTTCGCCATGGGGGGGGGGGGCGTACTCATGGTTTGCATGTCTTAAGGGGGGGGGGGGACCCCAATTTTTCATGACCCTTCCTCCCCCAGGGGAAGGAACGTATTTTCCCCAAGAACCAACACCCAAGGGCAAAACCTTCCTTCCTTTCTTTCTTTCTATGGAGCCAAAAAAAAGGGGGGGGACTCTTTTGTAAAACTTTTGGGGAATCCCCAAAAAAAAAAACCCCCCTCCCCACAAAGGCGGGAAGGAAAAAAGAAACCCCCTCTTTTTCCCCCCCCCGGCCAAACCTTTTACAAAGATTAAACCACAATGGGGAACGGGGGGAATATTTTTTTGAAAAAAAAACACCAAATGCCCCGGCCCAAGAAGGGGGGCCCTCCCGGGGGAAGAAAAAAAAAAAAAAAAAAAATTTGAGCCCAACCGGAAAACAAAACCCCAAAAAGAAAATCCAAACAAAACCTATTTGGAAAAAAAAAATTTCATTTTTTTAATCCCCCAAAAAAAAAAAAATTTTTTAATCCTTTAAAATTTCAAAAAGAATTTTTTTAAACTTTTTC